GGAGGACCGGGGCCGGGGCCGGGCCGGGGCCGCCCCGCCCCGCCCGGAGCTGCCTGGCCCAGGGCGCTGCGGAGGCCCTTCGGGGACGAGTTGTGACATGCGGGGGTTGTCCCACCGCCGATGCGCTGTGTATCCCCCCCCAGCCGGGTGGGACAGGGGGCAGATGTTTCAGAGAGACCTCAGATCCCTCCAGTTTCACTTAAAAAGTATTTAACTGTTCATACTCGCAAGTTTTCTCCGATTATCCCCTTGTTCAGTGTCTGCACTTAACGTCGAAGTACTTTGTGGCTGGAAACTGTAGGTATGTGCAGAAACAACAAAAAAACTTATTCAGTCAACAAAAAGCACAAGCCTAAAGGTAAGCAGGCTTTATTAGCGTTGCTTACCGCACACAGAAGAATCTTGTTTTTGCAGTTGTTTCTTGAGAGATTAAACTCATCGCGGTCTCTCGGCTTCCTGCTTGCAAGATGAAGAACCGTGGTGCTCCCTCTTTGGGCATTAAATAGCCTCAGCTGTTGTTTTAGCCGCTGTTACGGCATTTAGCCATTTTGGTTACATGTAACCAAATGGAATAAAGCAAAATGCAGAATGGGAACTTCTTCCTTAGAAAACTGTGGTTAGCGCATGGTTTGTGTAATGTGTAACTTGGTATTCTGGGGGGATTTGTTTGTTCTTAGGTTTGAATATACACACAAGAAACAGACGGGCGGAGCGGGCCAGTATGGCAAAGTTATAGGCGTTCTTGAGCCCCTGGATCCGGAGGACTACACAAAATTAGAGTTTGAAGACAGAACCATTGGCACAAATATTCCAAAACAATTCGTGCCCGCTATTGAAAAGGTACAAAGTGTTTTGTGTGTGTGTATGATGTAAGAAATACTGATTCTTGTTGTTTTCCTGCTGTACTGTCCACATTTACTGTGACTGTGCTTGCCCCAGGCAAGGAGGCTTTTCCCGTTATTTCAGTGGAAGCAGAATCAAGTTTTTGTGGCTTTGCTTAATATCTTACGTTCCTAGGTTTTCCACTTGATTTAGAAGCTGCTGTTTGTTTTCTTTGGTAGTGCTTGCTCTATTTCCATAGCAGTGCTGCAGTGCAAAAGGTAGGCTTTCCTTTCTTGTAGTCAAACAAGCCTCCTTCTGTTGAATCTGCTTTTTAATGGCCCTCTTCTGCTTTTGATTGTGGCCACGCGATTCTCATCTCTAACCCCAAAGTATTGTAACTTTTTTTGTGACTTCTCTGAGGCCAGTTATGTAGGAAACTGTAATCAAGCTAGATTTTCTGCATGAATTACCAAATACTCTTCTTAATCTCTTCTGCAGGATTCTTCTGTGCTTATCTCTGTGTAACTGTATAATTTATCACGTAGTACTTTAAGTAGTACCTACCACGATCTTTGAATTCCTATAATAATGGATCAACCTAAAATAGTTCCTTCGTTATTCTGTGATGCAACACTTGAAAGATTTTTGCCAAATCCTGGAAAAAGCATGAAGTCTTAAAAGAATCTTGTTCTTCAGTCAAGTGGTTAGAGTAGTTCTTTCCACACAGAGCATTCTTTCAGTTTTTGATCATACACTCCCTTAACAAAGCAAAATCCTGAGTACATTTCTTGTCCTTTGCTTGTTACATGATTTCTATTTTTAAAAAATACCAGTATCGAACCGAGGTGCCAAAGAATGATAGCACAAAGTTTTCAAACGTTTGGGAATGAAAAGTTTTCCCCACTGTTGTTTTCTTCCATTATCTTATCAAGCAAGAAGGTCCATTGCATAGATACGGGATTGCTGTTAAAAATTGTGAAATGCTTTTTTTTTTTGTTATTGTCATTTTGTTTTTTAAGTTTAATGTCTTTTATAGGCTGTTGTTAACGCTACTCTCTTTTAAGCTTCATTTTCATCTAAAAACTGCTAACTTTGAGATGTTACTTGACAGGGATTCCGAGAAGCATGTGAAAAAGGTCCAGTGTCAGGGCACAGGATATCTGGAGTCCGGTTCGTCCTAGATGATGGTGCACATCACATGGTGGACTCTAATGAAATCTCTTTCATCAGAGCAGGAGAAGGAGCCCTAAAGCAAGGTATAAAGCTAGTCATTTGAACGCGTAGTCCTGCTGGCTTCTTTATTGTTGGAGCTAAATTTAACGACCTCCTTTCTATAGGTTCATTTGTTGCCTGGTGTATCCATACATACATTTAAAGTTTGGCCAGTTGTGTAGAGCAGAATATATGCAAGAGTTTATAGAAGTTTTGAGGGAGGCACAGTAATTCCTTTAGTTATATGAAGGAAATCCTGTTTTCGTAGAATAAAGAAACACCAACATCTTCAACCTTACACAGGTATGAAAAGAAGATTCTATCAAACTGTGTGCCTCCCAGCTTTACTGTCTTGGGAATAAAAGGCAGGGGAGCTGGAATTCCACATAGTCGATTACTGTTTTCCCCCACTGATGTAAGAAACACTTAGCATTAACCATAAAACACTTCTTCGCTATGCATAGGCGTATCTTGAATTATACCAGGCTTGTTCTTTGATGTTTGATTATTTAGTAAGTTTTTTCCTCCAGCTATGGAAAACGCTGCTGTGCGTATACTTGAACCCGTTATGGCAGTGGAGGTGATGGCACCCACTGAATTCCAAGGAGCAGTGATAGCTGGAATTAATCGCCGTCACGGAGTGATCACAGGGCAAGACGGCACAGAGGATTACTTTACTCTCTATGCTGAGGTTTGTATTGTTCACTGGTTCCTGACCTTTTCTTTTCCTGCCTTGCCTTTTGACTCCATTACTGTTCTACTCATTGACTAATATGCGTAAACTTGTAGCCAGGTTTTTCAGTGGATAAGCAAAACACTGATTTTCAACTCGTGGCAGTGTATTGGGCAGTATTAATGAACCTATTATAAATCTGTCTTGCTCCAGAGAAGCCGACTTACTAACCTAAAATCACACGGTGGCAGAGAAAGAAACAGAACTTGGGTTTCTTGAGATGGGCTGGCTGTGCTACCTCAGAGGGAAACAAACCTGTGCAGCAGGACAGGTGCACAGAGTTCAGGGGGAAGATCTTTATGTCAGCTGTCTTCCTTCAGCTGTTACCTGCATTAACTGTAATAATTGCAGCTAAATGCAAGTGACTTGTCTTCAATGATCCTTCTTTTATGTCCCTTCAAAAAACGTATTTGTTCTCATGTTAGGTCATATAGAAGTGTACATCTAACAGTGGTGGTAGGGTAAATCATCTCAGCAAAGCCTTAGCTAATGACAAGACGACACTCCGCATCACTTCTGCTTCGGAAATTGTGTTTAGAGCTGCAGTCTTGAGATATTTCAAATGTTACGATCTCTTCCCGGGTGACACAGATTACCCGAGTTTGGAATATTCCAGTATCTGGTGCATTCAAACTCTGAGGTTTTGGGGGTTTCCTGCTGAAAACACACTGTGAATATAAATCAGTTGAAATAAGAGGTACTTTACAAAAATAGATAATTAGATCAGTACTGTTTACAAAGAGCACCAGACTTTACTGACTTTTGATATTGTAATTGAGATTAATTGGACGATAACCCAAAGTTGATGGAAAAAATACCTTGTTTTTACAAGAATAGTATGTTTGGATTTTAGGTGCCACTGAATGATATGTTTGGATATGCCACCGAGCTGAGGTCTTGCACAGAGGTAAGTACTCTTGGTACTTTTTGCTAGAACATGTTTATTTCTGTAAATCAAGTGTGCTAATTTGCATCATCATATACGTAGCATATGTAGCAGTAAAAGTGATAAAAATCAAAGCAGATGCAGAATAGGAAAATAACCTTACAGTTTTTACTGTTACTTCAACTGCTTTTTAATTAACATAGCTATCATTAGCTGCGTCGTTTCTGGCCAAAAAATTCTTTCATACTTTGAGGAGGGAAGAGATTCAGAGTCGTAAGTAATACAAAATGATAGGTACCAGTAAAGGTATTAAATTCACAGGCTGGAACAGTTGAGGCATACTCCTTAAGTTACAAATGTCTGCAAGTAGAAGAGATCTTTGACAGTAGTGCTCACGCTATTAAGATGTCCTTTTTTTAATAATATATATGCCTGTAGTTATACGCTCGTTGGATGCATTTGAATCAGGTGAGTTTGCGTGTTACATAAAATATGCTATTCCACATCTCGTGACAGGCGAGTGCCGGTATTCTGTGAGCACTCGAACGGGTTGTTATTAATGCCGTGATCACTTTCAGTTTTTAAGCAGAATGTCAGGCTGATGAGATGGGAACCGCAGGCGATCTTGTATCAAAGGAACAGTGTTCGGATACTGTTTGTATGTCTTTGCATCTCCTATCTGCGTGCCTCGGTACACAGTGTTGGTATACTTTATCGCATGTTATTTCACAGATTGGGGTGTGGCCTACTGCTAAATAGGTTTACATGTTTAGCGTCCTCACTTTGACTATTCTTTTCCAACTCTACAGGGAAAGGGTGAATATACAATGGAATACTGTAAATATCAACCATGTTCGCCCAGCACTCAAGAAGAAATAATTAACAAATACCTCGAAGCAACAGGACGACTTCCTGCAAAAAAGGGCAAAGCCAAGAGCTGACTTTTTTCCTCTTGAGTACGTTGAACAGTTTTTCACATCCTTCTCCAAAAGCTCAGCAATCAAGGCTGGCTGGATAAGTGCAGGCTGCAGTGGGACTCGGGCTTGTAATTTCATCATAATATCCTTCCTTTGTGGTATTCTCAGAAGCCACCAGGAGATCACAACAGAATTGTTCACGTGTAAATTGCTACTCATTAACAAAATATATAAATGTTACAGCACTGATGATAATTTGTCTTGAAATTTGTCTTAATCCATTTGTATTAAAGTAATTTTATTTTTTTACTTGCTACATCATTATTTTGTAATTAGGCTAGTTCCTGTTTCTTTGTTTTTGAAAGTTTAAAAATCTTAGTTTAGGAGACTAAACTACCTATTAACTGCTGGACAGGCATGAGGGTGAATCGTCATCCAGTGCTGAGCAGTTTTCACATACGTGCCCCAAGCATAGATCCTGTAGCTCCTGCACTTAGAGCATACAGTCCAGGGAACGAATGTCAGTTTTCCCTCCTCATCCTTCAGAAACAATGCTAGGAGCCTCCAAAGTCCTAAGGAATTGGGCAAAGTCATCTGTCAGTGCAACTTGCTTATCACCACACCTGCTTATCACGGATGGTGCAAGGCATTTGAAAAGAGTTGATAATAATATACGTAGAAGTTAAGTCTTTCCAAAGCTATGAACAATGTGGATTTATTTTATGGGCTCGCTTTCTTGGCTCTTTGTTAGAAAACCAAACAAAAGATTCCTTTCCCCAGAACCTTACAATCAAAAGGGCGTGTTGCTGATGATGCTCAGCTTGGGAATCAGTTGAACAGATCTTGCTCGCTCATAGAAGGGAGATAAAACAAGGACGTTATAGTTAAGTGAGAAAGAGAAGATATTATCATCAATGTATTTTTTTAATTACTACCAGAAGATCCACGCTGAATTTTCTTTGCGTGCTCTCTCTTCCTGACCTACTCGGCTTAACAGCACTTTTGCAGACTTCCAGTAAACAGAGAATGAAGTTCCAGTTCAAAACCAGCTACATTCCTGGCACAGGATTGTGGTTGATGTTTACCAGACGCAGACAGAACTGCAGTGGCTGGGCTGGTTTTCCCTCAGCCTTCACAGAAAGACAGTGAAAATTACTTATTTTAACCTTGAAAAAAGTACAGCGTCAGAGATTTGTCAGGGGCATGTAAATGCTGACTAAACAAACACATGTATAATGCTGTATATGAGTATAATGTTGCTTTGGGCCAAATCCTTCTTGATTCCCTTGCATTCAGAGCCTTATTTTTGTGAAAATACTCAGCTGGAACTCGTTTCAAGAAAAGCCCTGCAGGTTCTCTGACATTTGGAGATTTTCTCAAACAAGCAAATACAGCACATTTACCAAAATTCAAAGATGGCTTACAAAAGCAGTATGAATGCAAGAAATAAATGGGGTGGTTATTATTTTATTTATATTTATGGCTTTTATATTATGCTTATTAGAGGCCAGTCATGATGTGAAATCCCAGCTAATAGGTTCTGCCAGATGTGTGCTGGTTCTCCACAAATCTAATGCGGCCGATGAGAGCATGGCCCCGGGTAGCACAGTGCAGGGACAGCTGAGGCACAGCGGGGTCTGCTGAGCTTAAATGCGAGGGAGAAAATCTGCGGGTAGGGGGAAGGCTAATGGATAGTGGGGGACAGTGGAAGAAGGACAGAAGCACTAGCAAGCGCCTAATTTTGGGGCGCCCTGGATTTTGTTTCTTTGTGCGGGATGGGTTTTTTTTTTTCTTTAATCAAATTTTAGATAGCACTTGTCGTATATCTTAGTTGAACTCTTCCTAGCAGCAAAGATGGAAGAGAACTACTACTCTTGTCTGTACAACCTCTTACAGATATGCTCTGCACGCGTTTTTTTAGCGTGAAGAATTCACTGTGAACCCGTCTGAGCCTTGGCTTGGATAACGTCTACACTGATGTAACCAAGAATTTTGCTTGAGTAAAAACTGTATGATTTTAGGTTCTGATCCACTGACTGAAATCTTGGCCCTAAAGAAGTTGGTGGAAATTTTGCCTTTGAATTCCAACAGGTTTGCTACTTGTCCAGAAGCTATTGTGCAGTTTCTTAACTAACCTAAGTTTGCGTTGCTTATTTGGTGTCAAAGTTACACCGATCTGGTAAGTTGGAAGTGCCTGATCCTCTGTTCTAGGTCTGGAGAGCAGTGACAAAAACAGGGTAAGGAAACTAAACTTGTGGTTAAATGCATTGCTAAAGTAGAGCCCCAAAGTGCAAAATCCATGCTATTTTCTTATTTAAATTCTAAAAAAAATATTTTCATCACCAATTTCTTTAAGAAATGTTGCCATTATAAGCTCTGATTTCACGCTGTTGATGATGAGAAATGTGTTGCCAGCACAAAAGAAAACACGAGTATGTGAAATGCTGCTTCACTGAATTTATTGTAATGCCTATGATGTGCTGATATAGAAAGCTTCAGTCAGTAAAAGTATATCAGACTAATACACTTGTGTAAAATGCCTGAATTTGGGGGGTTAACAGATCACCCAGCCTAAATATCTCCCAGTTAAAGCTTTCATGTTGAATACCTTAATCATCGTTACCAATTACAGATCAACGATAGCGCAGTGTACCACAAGTTATAAAGAATGTAACCATCCCAGAAGGCAGAGACCATTGCCTGTTTTCCTAAGTAAGGTGTACTTATTGATAGGGAGTTAACTTAACCTGGCAGAAATCTTGTTAATGGGGAAAAAAAATGACGAACCCGAAACAGTTTGGCACAATCTCAGTGAACAAAGGCAGGACAGCGGGTCTGCTGTAAACCGAAACGGAGAATTTGGTGTGAGAGGACAAAAACATGTTCTTGCAGGAGGACTTTGTCGTATTTAGGATGGGTACAAGACACGGCAGGCAGTAATATAAAAGCTGTTTGACGGGGTATTCTGGCAGCGGGCTGTTCCCCCGCCAAACCCAAATGTGGAAATCCATCTGTACAGAGCCTTACTGTCTTTGCAGTTCTGTCTTTTCGTTGAAGGTAGAATAGCGAGAACTGTGTCGTACTGCAAATAGACTAAGACAACATTCTCAATTTCCGTTTGACAAACACTGCCTTGCAGTGTTCTGGACTGGTGAGAGATGTGGAGAGACAACAAAACGTATTTTCCTTATATCAATATTTTCTGAGTTGCCTTCACAAATATGAGAGAAGAAACTTCCTTTTTATGTCAGCTCACACCCCAGGGAACAGTGGTGCGTCAGCAGGACTAGGGCCGTGCAGATGCTGGCTACTGGCTTCTGTAGGGCCTTGCGGGAGACGTTTCGCTGCCTATGCTCATCCACATCCTTTTAAAGGCCAAACACTGGGAGAAGATGGGGAGCTGGGGTCGAACAGCAGCAGCATGAAAGAAAACCCCACCTCGAGCCTGCGTAATGGTATTTGTTTTATTGGAGATCTAAGTTAGAAATCAGCATGTATCTATTCCAAAAAATAAAAAAAAAATTAGCAGACAAATATTTCTTACTGACAGATTAATATTTTTCTCAAGATTTTTATCCAAATATATTAACTTTGTTCACAAACTATGTTACTCTAAGTAACAGTAAGTTAGTGACATAAAATCAGCTTGTGTATGTTTATCTGTGTATGTATGTCATAGCAAAGTTTTTAGGTAGAACTCTAGAACATGAGTCTTGCAGTTTAAGAAATTACAGGAATTAATTTTGGAACAAAACAGACTAGTGAAAGCATTCAAATTCACTGTTCGACTTGTATAGAAAAATTATCACAACTCCAGATCTATTAACACAAGGATTTTCTCATTTAATACATAGCCATAAAGCTGACAATCTCTTTTAAAAATTTGCTCCCCTTTCATATAAAATCCCAGCAGCTGATCCAGATTCCATTCCAGACCCGTATTCGAGCCCCTGATTCTCTGAAGCACAGAAGTATTTCACTTTCAGAGGGCGACCAGGAAGCCAAGTGAGGCGCATCTGACATGAAATAATTTCCTGGAGAACAGATTTAAAAATACACATCTTTTATGATCTTTATACTGTTCCTCTGTTGATGAAAGGAGGTATTATACGCGTATGCTTTCTTACCTGTGTTGGAATTTCATGGAGTAGGACAGTGTAGTCAAACTCAAGAAAATGATCTTTCCTTATCTGGGCGTGTATGAAAAAGAAAAAAATGATCAAGAACACAAGTTACATTGTGGAAGTTCAGAGTCTACTCTCATTGACTGCATGTAGCTTGCTTAGGGAGCGAGATGAATAGGGCTCGAGATGGCTGTGGTCGCTGGCTGGAGTGAGACGGGTTTTGTATGTAGAGAGACGGGGAACTAGGAACACTTCCTGCATAAAAACTTTGGAGGCACTAACTGCAACGTGGCTCTGCAGTCTGACTTCTCTGACATGAAGCTAGGCTTGACTCAGATGCTAATTAATTGAGTTTAACCCTCAAATAAATTTGAGAATCTTACCTATTGATCTCTCCTTCAGAGAAATCTCATTCTAAGTAACTAGGGAATAAAAACCGAACACTGTCTGTTGATCACAGATGACTGAGGGACACAAAGCTTTGGGAACTCCTATTCTATATGCTGCAGATGTAAGGTATGTTCCTCAGAGAGCGTATGTCAGGTACTAGACTGATGCTACCTTCGAGCTTGGCTAGGAGGGCAAAGAGTACTAGGAGCGACTTAGTATGGGGCTGATGAACTGCAGGACCGTACGTTCAAATCTCCTGATTAAACCTGCAGAAGCCAACAGATCCGCTCATGCAAATAAGGAAAAACAAATGTTGTCCAAACGAGTAAAATTTTTCCACCAAAACCTGGACAAGGTTGTCCAGAGGTGGAGATACTTGTATGGAGAAGCCACTGGGATTTTGGGAGAATCACACCCATTACAGAGAGCGTGAGCTGTTGATGGTTGTTTTATTCTCTGCTGCTTGGTAGACTCTATTAGCTTCTGTAACGCAGACTTGTAATTTCCACTTTGCTTACCCACTGCTTCACAGACTTGACTTGTGCCATGAAGTACCCCAAGTTCTCCGTTGACTTTTCCCACATTATGTAACTGCTGCCAGCGACAGCCAAAGCCCACACTGGCTCCAGGGCAGGTTCAATATTTCCATAGCTGTCTGCAAGGGAGAAAGAGAGTAATATAAAAATGATTAATTCTGGCTGTTCACAGAACACTTTTGCCTGGTGTAGCACTATTCCTGGGAAGTGACTCTTCCCTCAGATGCGTTACAATCTTGAACAGGGAGGAGAATGATGCTAAACCTGCAGTCACAGTACAAGTATGAAAGCATGACGGAACTGAAATTGCCAAGAGACACTATGCACAGGGTCCCCACAAGGAGGTGAGAAACCCAATATCCACGGTAATGGAGGTCCTTACCTAGCCAGGAAGAAAAGAGGGACTGGGGCGCTCTATTTCCAGGATGGAAAAATCCTGTTAGTCATCCCTTGTGAATTTCCACCCGCAGCTGGGGAAGGTGTGTGGGTTAAGGCAGTTGTTATTACTTGAGGACATTTTGCATTTACTTGAATATAAAACTGCATAGACTTGTTTTTAAATCCAAAACACCTTCACAACATTGTGTTGACTACCGCTGTTGCTAAAACGCAGCAGGTTTTTTTTCTCCCCAAGAATTGCTAGCAAGGTGGAATTGTTTTGATAGTTAGCTCTATGGTTTTAGGGTGCTACTGTAAATGTCTGTGTCTACTTTTTGAAATGCATGTACATTTGCTTGTGTTCTTAAAAGTGCCCAGGCTCTTTGAGATAAAATGAAATACAATTGATTATTTGGAGGAATGTACCTGGAATATTGTTTCCGATTATTGGTTTAGTTTGGTGCCTAATTTTTTTGTAAAGTCTGTTGTCCTCTTCTTGGATTTGCTTCTGGTCTTTGGTATACGTGCACTTGATATTGACAGCAGGCGGAGACTTTGTCTTCGGATACAACACTGTAGCAAGGCAGCTCCCGACATTTTCCTGTAAAGGTAGAATTTAAAATTGTTATCTTTAATTGAGATTTTTCTTACCAGCAACACATTCTTAAAAAAGCTCTTGGTATTATGTGAAGTGTACATGTGGAGTATGTACATGTCTTTATGAGACGCCTTGTATGAAGCTGTACAGGGGTCAAGAAAGTCTTTAGATGGATACAAATTTTTTTCCAGAGAAGTAAATAGGTTAAAACCACAAGGCTAAAGTGATTTAACAGAAGTTTTTAATTAAAGTGTAGCAGAAATGCACTAAGTCGTCTTGGAAATACATTTGAGAGTTCTCAAGAAATAACATTAACAGGGCATTTCATTGTATGATACTTCAGCCTTAAAACAAAAGTAATCTAACGCTTCATATTAAATTCTGAAAATAATCTGAATTTCGTAAAATGTGTGTGTAATGGAAAAGCAGATGCTTACAGTAAAATTGCTCATGACAACTGTCTGACAGAATGAATGGGGGGGGATATAATTCAAAAGAACACAACTGTCAACTCTTTATTCTCATTTTGGTGTGCGGACACAGCAGGAGCTACAACTGGATAACAAGGACCATACTGTCACACTGAGTTTGGACCATTGCAAAGTTTCACTCAGGCGCTTGGTTGCCTGATGTGACTTAAATGAGACAATCTCTTCAGGCACTGAGCAAAGCAGGTAACTACGGTGCTCTGACCACTTGGACCCCGACAGAGGCAGAGGACCCATTAGATGAGATACTCGGGTGATACTAAGAGCAAACCATGCCCCATGCTGGACAGGCAGGTAGAAGCATAAAGGTAAGTCTTTCCATTGTGAAAGATTTGTTTACAAAAGCAATTAAATGTACCCTGTTTTGGAGATGTTGAAGTTCATTTGAACGCACACTGTCAGAAGAAACATGGTGGACTGTAAACTCACCCTGCTTTTGTAGTCTTCGGTAGTGAACTGCAGGTAATACTTGTGACCAGACTCTGGGATGCTCTGGAAGAGAGAAGGATTCAGCCATCAGTGTAACTATAGCCTTACATACCGTAACTTGCTGAGGTGTTGCCATGAGCGCTGAGGAGGGAAAACGAGGGTGCCATGGCTACCTCATGGCCTTGTAGCATCAGGAAATTGGTCAGATGAGATGTGCTGAGATGATCCTAGCAGCAAACACAAAGGGTCTTAACAACAACAATAAATAACCTTTATATTAAGGGATGTTTTAAAGCCTTTCCTCACAGAGAGATGCAAGAAGAAAAATGCAGCTCAAAGTCCTTCACAGGACAGATTGATACTGAGTAACTTTAAAAATAGTAAAATTGCAAATCAGTGTTCAGCTTCTGAGGAGGTATTTTTTGCACAGGCTATCGGAGTGCCCTTGAATATATAAATGAATCAAATCTTGCTGACTGATTCACAGCTGAACAGGAATTACACGGGCTAATTTAATCTTAGGGATGCTAACCTTTCTAGGTTTTTTTTTTTATTGTGACTGGAAAGAGACTAATTTCACTACGCAGCATGTCAGAGCAGGATTCTGATCTGTCTGCTCTCTTTTGCCCTGAAAACAGTCATTAAGTTGCCCAATCAACTATCCGAGATTCCGCTTGTTAAGGAAAAATAAAAGAATACTCCTTGCTGGTGGGAAGCAGCCAGTAGCACCTCTTGTAACACAAAATATCAGAAAAGCCTTAGGAATGTACACCTTTGAAATACGTAATTTTCTTGGATTTGGGGCTTTTTCGGTTTCTTTTGGGTTTTTTTTTTCCCTGTTGCTGACAGAAATGGTTCAATTCACAAATTTTATTTTTGGTGTGGGATATCACAGCCTGTCCGGCCCCCAAGCATGCTGAAACAGATTCCGCTTGTTAAGGAAAAATAAAAGAATACTCCTTGCTGGTGGGAAGCAGCCAGTAGCACCTCTTGTAACACAAAATATCAGAAAAGCCTTAGGAATGTACACCTTTGAAATACGTAATTTTCTTGGATTTGGGGCTTTTTCGGTTTCTTTTGGGTTTTTTTTTTCCCTGTTGCTGACAGAAATGGTTCAATTCACAAATTTTATTTTTGGTGTGGGACCCCCCAGCCTGTCCGGCCCCCAAGCATGCTGAAACAGAAACTAGCTTTTAATGTTGGCCATGAAAGATACTAATTACCCTGAAACAGGATCAATGTCTCATTTAATAGTGTAAGAGCAGAGCCTAATAAAAAGTAGTTGCATTATCTGCTCTTTACTTCATTAGTCTCATATTTTCCTACCAACTTGTATATTCTCTTTTGAAATTTCTGTATTTATTTTTGAGTGGGGAGTCTGAGTAACGAATAGGATGGAAAACTTTATATTTATTCAACTAATTCCTTGTAAAATTACATTATGTGTCGTTTAACTGTTTGGTACATTTCCGAGCCTTTCCTTTGATTAAATCAGCCAGAAATAAATGAAAAAAAAAAGTCTTTTTGTATGCTATACTGTGATTTATTAGACGAGCTTTCTGATATACAAGCCAGGTCACTTCTGTGTCTGAAAGTTTGTCCCTTTTGCATATATCACCTGGTTTAATAAGAGGCATTCTCTTTCTGTAGAAAATGCATTTTACTGGAGAATGCAAGCTGCCTTTTAAAGTGTGCATTTAAATCAAATTGCTGTATTCCAGCAACAGCACTGATTTTTTAGTCTTATTTGTTTTTTAAATACAATACTCTTCAAATAAACAGGAGGGGAATTCTGGCTGTTTGCACAATTTTGAAGATCAGAACCCAAAGCAAACATGCATGTGTTCTATTTATCTAAACTTGGGCCTCTGTTGTTCCCATCATACTTTCTTCCAGGAAGCCATTAATAGCATAGTGTTAGCAAAGTTTCATTCCCAGGGCAAGGCCTTCAGCCCAGCACCTGCCTTTAGTACATACACGGAGTTATACACTGCAGATAAGAGGGCAAATTGGTTTAGTCACTTGCTCTACTTTTATGAAAACCCCTCTTGAAGCTTTACAATGAGGCAAGTCTGGAGCTGGACCCAGCTGACACCGTGAAAGGAATGGAGGGAATGGAGAAGAGGATGAGTTCAGACTTATAATTTCTTCTCTGCCTCCTCGTTCTCCCCTTCTCTCCTGCCCCCATTTTGTGTATTGGCTAAATCTTGTCCTCAAAATGACAAGAGATTGTGACATGAACAGACACTCTTAGCCTAGCAAAATGGTAAAAACTAGCTTTCCTGAAATGCAGGTTTACAAAAGAATCAATAATTCGTGTTGCTGAAAGAAGGGTCTAATCTCATGACAATCACTGCAGTTAAGTCTAAGTTTCTAATTATTGTAAAGCTACCCAAGAGGTATTATCTCTATTGTTTCTAACATTCTTCATTTGATCAAGTATGGGTATTTTTTAAGCACAGTGACCTAGGCTTATTCCTTTTCTTGTCATCAGTACCACAGATGAGAGAACCTGAAATAGCGTCAGTTGGACTGCAACACTTCTGAAGCAGGAGAAACTTAGCTCTGATTTAATGGATGATAGTGGATGGGGTTTCCTGCTGAACCTTTTCCTCAAGGGGCACAGTACAGCAGCCTGATGGCACGCTCCCAGTTACAACATAGAATCATAGAATAGAATCATAGAATCATTGAGGTTGGAAAAGACCTCTAAGATCATCGAGTCCAACCGTCAACTCAACACCACCATGCCCACTAAACCATGTCCCTAAGCGCCTCATCTACACGTCTTTTAAATACCTCCAGGGATGGGGACTCCACCACTTCCCTGGGCAGCCTGTTCCAATGTTTCACCACTCTTTCAGTAAAGAAATTTTTCCTTACATCCAATCTAAACCTCCCCTGGCGCAACTTGAGGCCATTTCCTCTCGTCCTATCACTTGTTACTCCGGAGAAAAGGCCGACACCCACCTCGCTACAACCTCCTTTCAGGTAGCTGTAGAGAGCGATGAGGTCTCCCCTCAGCCTCCTCTTCTCCAGGCTAAACAACCCCAGTTCCCTCAGCCGCTCCTCAGAAGACTTGTTCTCCAGACCCCTCACCAGCCTCGTTGCCCTTCTCTGCACACGCTCCAGCACCTCAACGTCCTTCTTGTAGTGAGGGGCCCAAAACTGAACACAGGATT